CTGGCCTCACAATTTCATACTGAATTTAAAAACTATAATTAGTATTTATTCATATATTATATTTTAAAATCAAAGAACTACTAATCAGGATATAATTAAAGAAATAAGAGTTGATGTTGCTTTTGGAATAATCCACCAAATTCTCTAAATGAAACACTATCTATAGATTTGCATCGAAGCGTTTCATATGATAGTGATTAAAATCACTGTCAGATATCATCTATACTTGTCCCATCTATGCCTCGACCCCACTGTGCTACCGTTTTTTTAAACATATTAATAATCAAACTAAGTATTAATTTAAATCAATTTTTTTTGTCCTTAATTATTTTTTTTTATATGTAAATACTATTTTTTAATAATATTAAAACTTAGAAGTGATAGAAAAAGTCTAATTGCACATTTGAAAATATCGCGAAATGTTGATTTAGAATATTATATTTTTGTTCCTGATGAAAGTTCCTTGTAGTACAGTGTATAAAACTTATAACTTTGTTAACTGTTATAACTTTACCAAATCAGTATAATTTTTTTTATTTAGATGCATGTCTTTACCTATCATTTGGTTTTTTTTTATAAATCTAACCCTTTACCTGCCCACAAGAGGGATTCAAAATAATAACTTTTTTTTTTTTAGTTAAAGTAAATAATTAAAATTAATTCAGTTCTGGATATTTCAATTGAAGAATCTTTTTAAATACCAAAAATTACTTAGAAATGATTACTATGATTTCTATTTAATTGTAGTATTACGATAAAAATGCAAAAAAATAATGAGTTTTAAATAATTAGTCTTAAAAATAGCATAGTTTTAACTATCATAAAATGTTCTATTTAATGATGTCAATTTCAAACTTGTAAATGATCTAAAAGTTATGGTAACAAATTCAATTTTTTTTACTATAAACTTTCACAAAACTTGTCAACAATATTTCATCAATTTTAAAGAACCAAAAAAATAGGTTAAAAATGGACTGATTATTTTTAACATATTAAAAATTAAATCAGTAATAATTTGAAAACAAATTTTTTTTTTTTTTAATTATTATTTTATATGTAATAAGTAATAATATTAAAAATTAGAACTGATAGAAAAAGTCTAATTGCAGATTTGAAAACAACGCAAAAAGTTGATTTATAAAAGTATATTTTTGCTTCTAATGAAAGTTCCTTGTAGTCCAGTGCATTTATTTATAGTAACAAACAGTTTTTATTAAAAATTATTGTATCAAACCCTTTAAATTTTTATACACTTAAAAGTAAAGCAAAATATAACTTCTTTATTATTTTTAAAATTTCTCCATTTAAATTACAATATTAAATTATTGAATATCAATTTCACACTAAATTTAATAATTATAATTAGTATTTATTCATATATTATATTTTAAAATCAAAGAACTACTAATCAGGATATAATTAAAGAAATAAGAGTTGATGTTGCNTTTTAAAATCAAAGAACTACTAATCAGGATATAATCAAAGAAATAATAGTTGATGTTGATTTTGGAATAATCCACCAATTTCTCTAAATGAAACACTATCTACAGATTTGCATCGAAGCGTTTCTTATGATAGTGATTTTAATCATTGTCAGATATCATCTATACTTGTCCCATCTATGCCTCGTCTACACTGTGCTACCGTTTTTTCATGTTTTTTAACTACTAAATATGTAAAAAAACAACTTTTTCTCATATTTTCTTAAAAATCATCTTCAGGGTTTTCATCTTCGTTTGTTGTTGACCATTTAAAAATGTCGTTCCAAAAATCTTTCTTTTCTTCTGGTATGTATTGAATTAATTAAATTAATTAAAATCTTGACAAATAAAATTGCTGATCAAGTTATTTTTGGAGAAATGGCCTTTTCGAATGCACTCGTTATTTTTAGACTATAACGAGTTGTTGGCGACATAACGGTCTCGTAGGAAATATGCATTATTATTAGATAAACACATCTATCACATAAAAGTATTTTTAAAAAAATATGGAATAATGGCCTTTTTGAAATGACCGATTCAATTATGCTCGAAACTGATTTTAAATCAAAAATTGTCATACAAATATAATATATGTGCTTACTATGAATTTTTTTAAATAATTAGCAAAAATACTGCTTTTTTTATACCAAACTATTATTATTTCTTTTAAATAAAAAATTGTTATTACTTTTTTCAAATGGTATATATATTAAAACGTAATTTTAATTAGTAGTATTAAAAATACTTCTAATTTGATCTTTTAATGTACTTTTTTGTAAATGAGTTTATTTTTTTATATACAAGAGGGATTAGAATATATTAGAATATCTTCCTTACGATTTGACAGTATTTTACGCTGACTGTCGACTTTTTGCAACTTTATTATACGTATATTAAAACCAAGTGTGCATCAAACAACGGTGTACACTTGGTTTACTTAGTTCCTGGATGGGTGACCATCAGGAAATTCAAACCGGCATCTAACCATCAGCGATAATGCGACGACTAATCCATTACGTCACTAAGTGATTAGAATACATGTGAATTGAAATTTGTTTTTCTTTCTAATTCTCACGTAGTTACATAAAATTCTAAAAGAATCTATCTCTTATTAAATTTGCGAATATGATAGAACCATTTGGTTTTTATAACACCAAAATCTATGTCCTTAAAACTAATATTAAATTAAAGCTTATAGGTTGAAAGTCTTAGTAAAAATAATTTTCTTAAAAACTTTATTTCTATGTGGAAAAAATGTACAAAAATGCTGTCAATTATTGCATATCAATTTTTTATTTTAGTATACTTTACTATATGAAATGGTATAGAATATGCTTATATCCTATACCGTAATTTAACATTAATATCCTAGGGCGACTTTGATTTTCTCCCATTATTTTCTTTAACAGTGAATTATGGATATCATAATTATCAACTTTTTTTATTTATGAATCGCTATAATGGTATAACTGAACAACTACAGATAGTAGATCTTATCTATTTTGTGCTTATAGCATCAAGATAGTATTGTTTATCTATTTCATTGTACAGTTTTATCAGTTAAAATTAAAAATATAAAAAAATGAAAAAATATTTGTCACTGAAAAATTTATTTAATCAATTTTATTCTTTAGAAATTTTGCAGGTGTAATTGAAATGCATCGTTTAGTAATATTTTCGTTTCAATATATTGTGAAATTTATTTAAATTAATTTTATAGTATACAATATTTTTGATATTTCTATGTAATTTTAAATTACAAAATTACAAAATAGTTATATCAAATATTTGATAGATTTGTTATAGTTTTTTAAATTTCAAAATGAATGCCTTATTTGATCAAATAAAACTACTACATAGCCAAAAGCTGTATTCCAATATAACAAAATTGGTAACCTATAATTAATTATTTAACATAAATTAATTTGTTGTTCAACAATAATTTTTCATTTTCAGGCAGAAATGATACTAAAAGTTAGTGAACATACCTCTGATGTATTAATGACACATCATAAATTCAGATTATATGCATATTTGGGTGATTCTTATTACTTTTTGGGTAATTATAGACAAGCTGAAAATTCATATAAAGCGGCTTTAACTTTTAAAGAAGCATGTAGTACAGCTAAAACACCACTTAAACAATTTGATAATTTAAAAGAACCAATGCCAGATATAGGTATGGATTATTTTTTTATAACTATTGTCAGTTTTCTATTCTATACTTAATAAACACTTTTTTGAAATATTATTTTTATTTTAGATATTAAATATCAATTACATTTATGTCATATAAAATTAAAAGACTTTCAACAAGCCTTGAATATTTTACAATCTATTCCAACTAAACAAAGAAAGCCAAAAATAAATATGGCTCTAGGTAAATTACATCAACTATTAGGCAATGTTGTTTCTGCTATTTCTGCTTACAATAAAGTTCTTAAAGTAAGTAATATCAATATAATTTAAGAACAAAACTAACATTTTTAATTATCCTAAAATTGCTGTTTAGCTACCTGAAACAGTACTTAATTGATATTAACAAATATGATCCATAGATTTTTTCCTTCTATTAAAGTCTCTGAATGGTATTTAAATTTTTTATTATACTATGGCATGCATTTTGTATAGCAATGTATATAAGTATACATTGTAGTATAAATAGTAAATTGTTTAGTTAATTAAAACATATAGTTTAGTAACTTTATATCTTAAATGTGAACATTTAAATTTTTTTAAGGAGTGTCCTCTTGCTATTGAAGCAGCTGAAGGTCTTTTAAGTCTTGGTGTCAAAGGAACTGAAGTAAATGCACTTATGCTTGAAATGGTCAGCATTAATGGACTTGAATGGTATGTAAAAACAATAATTATATCTTAAAAATCTGCTTGTTTGTGAATTTTGATAAAATCAACATGAAAAATTGATTAAATTAATTCATTTGAAATTATAGAGTAAAAGGATTATTTGAAGAAAAAAAATTAAAAATTAATATTATTTTTTCAATATTCTAATTATATAGGGTACAAATATTGTTTATTGTAATTTGTGTCGTATAATTATATTCAATTCCTATTATAAATAATTAATGTCATTTCAAATTAAGAAAATAATTTTTAAATTATAATTAAGTTGGCATTCTCTAAAAGATTATTGTTTAAGTAAATTATGTCTTGTAAATTTATTTAGTAGTGTAATTTATTATAATTTACTAATTAATTTAATGAAAAAATCTAATAATAGATTCACAAATAAGTTGTTTGAAAATTAAACTTAAAATTTTTGATTATTTTAAATGATTTTTATTTTTTAAGGCTAAGTGGCTGGATCAAAGCTCATGCACATTTACATAATAATCTTGAATATTCAAATGCAATAAATACTTTGAAACAATTAGATGATCATTCAACTTTATGCAACAGTAATCGTTTATTAGTTGTAATTGGGAAATCATATTATTATAACGGTGATCGAAAAAGTGCTTTAATATATCTACAAAGAGTAACATATTTCATTTGATATTGTAAATTTTGAGTGTAATAAACTGATTATTTTTTTATTTCAGGCCTACAAATTATATCCTCTTATGCAAGATGGTCTTAGTACATTAGCTATGTGTTTATATATGGAAAAACAAAATAGAGATTTAGAAAAACTTCTTCCAACTACTTACACAGATGAATCTTCAATAGATCCTCATTTATGGGTTGTTCTTGCTTTTGTATGTTTTAGTAATAACACTCATTCAAAAGCTGCTTTTTTGGCGGAAAAGGTATTATAAATTAGTTCAACATGTAAACGAGGACCAGAAATTTTTTTTTTTTGTGGGGTAATGCTGTACAAAAATTGGAAAATTTTTCCTTATGAATAAATAAATAAAGTTATTATATTACCTCTAATTTACTGATAGAGATTAAAATAGAAAAAATTTCTGATAAAATTGATTTAAGCAACAATTTTGATGAGGTATTCCACCTATTCTTATACTTTACTCAGGTGTAAACCATTTGCTAAATTGTATTTAATTGTGTTGGTTTAATTGATGAAATTGAAAAAAGAAAAAATTTTAAATCAATTATATATAAAAATGAAGTCATAAAATTGTTTATTTTGTAACTTTTTAATTTTGGCTTGCGCTATTTTCAGGTTACATTTTAAAACTTTTAATTTTAAAAAGGTTAACTTACATATGAACACAAAATTTAATTATTATAAAAATGCATTTTGGCACTATAAAAATATGTTACATAACTTAGAAATAATTTGTAAATATAAATATGAAAGTTAAGTAATTATTCATTATTATTATTATTTATACCTTATTACTGTTTTATAATTTAGGCTTGTACTGTTGATCCAAAAAATGTTGAAGCTCTGTTATTACATGGTATGATACTTACTAGTATGAAAAAGTATACTGAGGCTATTCTTCAATTTCGCCAAGCAAATGATGTAAGAAAATTAATTTAGTTTTGTATATAATTTTTAATTATTTGATTAACTGTTAAATTTTCATTAAAAACATGATGTTAAACTTTTAATTGTTGAACTTAATTTAATTTTTAAATTAAGTTTTTTATTTACATTCTTCATGGTTTCATTTTTTATCTAATAATTTTAATTTAGATTGCACCATTTCTTTTTGATCCTCACAAAGGAATGGTAGATTGTTACATTTCTTTACATAAAATGAGAAATGCTTTAACAGCTGCTAGTAATTGTTGCAAGCAAATGAATAACCATCCAAAAGCTCTAACTGTGAGTAATTTTTTATTATATTAAAATATTTTTCATACCTATATTCTTCATTTTTGTTTTATAAACTCAAAATGTGGTTTAATAGTGCTAAAATAGGTATATTGCAGTATATTTTCAAAAAAAAAAAAAATTTTCCAACATGCTCTGTGACAATAGATAATTGTTTGATATTTCTATTTAAACAATAATATATAATTTTTGTCTTACTTCCTCTTTACCTCAGAAATAATTATGCCTCACTTTAACATTCAGTTATGTATTAAAAATGTAATGAATTTTCAGTTGTATGCTTCAGTTCTTATTAAAGATCAAATGACTTTTGGAAAAGCAAAAATTGTATTAGAAAAAGCTTTAAACGTAGATGAACATTATTTGCCTGCTGTTTATATGTTGGCCCAAATATTTGAACAAGAAGGAAACTTAAATTCTGCTATCACACTTCTACACAAACAAGCCTTAGATCAGCCAACATGTCGATTATATCAGATGCTTGGTGACTATAGTGTAAAACAAAATCAGCCAGAAAAAGCATTTGACTATTATTACTCTGCACTTAAGTAAAATTTTTATTACTTTTTAGTAAAAAAGTTATTTTATATACAAAAATTTTGTTATTGTAATTAATTAGCCACAAGTGATCAATTTTTATTATATTAATTCAAAATTAATAAATCAAATAGAAATAAAGTTTAAATTTTTCTATTTAATCTATAGTTAAATAGAAAATCACTGTAGTTTAATAAATATACAAGACCCAATGTGTATTGGTGTACAGGTACCAAAGTTTTTGTTGCTTTTATACTGCTTATAAAGGTTTTTTCTGTCCTCTTTACTAAGCAATAACTTATAAAAGAGAAATAAGTGTACTTCATAAATAAATATATATATATGTATAAATAAGTTCATTTTTTGACAAAGAAAAAAATATAAACTTCATTACATTAAAAATATAATTAAACTTAAATTAATAATAATTTAACTAATATAATATATTCACAAAAATAATATATAATTTTAATTTTAATGTTCTTATAGTCTTGATCCTAACAATAAAAGAGTTATGGAAAGTTTGGAAAATATGGGAAAGCCATGCAATACTTCAACAGCAGCATCTGCAGATTCTGTAGGGCCTGTTTTAAATGGGTCATTGTTGGATGCGACATTTAGTGGTATTAACAATGCTGAAAATGAATCAACACCATTCAATGCAGGTCATGAAGAAGACACATTCATGGATTCTGATCATGAAGGTTCTGGATCAGATATATCAATATAGTATATAAATTATATAAAACATTTGACTGTGTAAATTTTTTTTTATTGATCAACTTTGTGATTATGGCATGAATAGTGAACTATTTCTCCATTTGGACATCTCACAAATGCACTGTAATTATTTAATTAATGTGTATAATATTTTATTTTTTATTTTATATAATTGATTATTATTAAATAATATACCTTTGATTTCCAAAACGTTTTTTACATACTTTACAGATATTGAATTCTGTTAAGGTAATATTTTGAGATTCATAAAATATTCTTTGTTGTTGAACCTTGGATAAAATATTTTAATAACTTTTTTTGAGGTTAAATTTTTAAAACTACTTGTTATAAAATAATACACTTTTTACCTTCAAAAGTTTTGCATAGAGTAATCCTCTATTTATTTGGTATAATCGTCTATCACTTATGATTTTATTTAAAGAAATTTTAAAAAAATTTCTTATCCTATAAAGTGGTATTTCATCAGGTAATACTTTCAAAACATCGGGTGTTGCTATTTGAGCTGCATTTTTATTCAAAAGTTCTATCACTTTTTCTAAATCTGGAGCAGATTTAGTCACACCACCAAGTCCTGCAAGCCAACTATCTGGTGGATCTATTAGTAATTTCAGCAATGTGACATATATCTAAAAAATATTTAAACATTAATATATAAACACTTTTATAAAAAATATAGTACATTATTAAGAATACATAATACCTATACACAAATTTTTAGTTTTTTTACTTACAAGTCTAAAACAAAAGACATAAATATTCCTACAAATAATTTTATTACAATATTCAAAAAAGCTTTTACCCATTATATAAAAATTGCTCTAATTTTTCATTTACATCAGATTCAGTTAACTTTGAATAAAAAAATAAATAATTCATTGTCTAATAAAAATTACTAATCACTTGTAACTGTTATTATTTAAAGTTTTAAAAATATGAAGAAAAATTATATTATTTATTTTTAATATTGTATTTATTTTGCGATTAATAAAGTGGTTTATGGTAAATCAATCATCCTATAAAGTTATTGTTAAATAATAAAATTAATTGAATATTAGGGAGTGCTTTTAGTAAAAAATTAACTAAAACTATGGAAAATTAAGGACCTACATTTTTAATAAAACATAACTATAATATTGTTTTAACAGAAGAACATGTAGCTTAAAGAATTTAAAATTAAAACTATATTAAAAATATTAAGTGATCAATTTTTATTACATAATTCAAGGAATTCTTAATTTGTATTCTTATATTTATATAAATATGAAAAATCATTCATTTCAATTTCAATTATAATTTATTATAAAATATACAAATTCAGTAAATAAGGAATATATATAAAAACATAGGACATCATATATAAAAATAAAATTTGTTAATACTGTACTTTTTCAGAATCTTCTTTTTTTAATTTATGAACTTTATCACAATATTCAATAGCTCTATCAGTATCATGCAATACTGTAACATACATCGATAACACTTGCTCATGTCGACCAAGTTTTCCTAAAACTATTGCCCTTTCTTCAAAAAATCCTAAATATAAATGCATAAATTTAAATTAAGATATCATATTACAAAATTGCAAAAGTTTATGCAACTCACCATCTAGTGGAAAATGAACTAAAACTGTTTCTGGTGTGTAATATTTTGATTGTTCTAAGAAGTCCATAAGTTTAATTTTTGTACTTTGGGCAGTTTGTTCATCAACTTGTGTCACCATACTGTTGTATTGTTGAAGTTTTTCTCTATATTGATGAATTAAAGCATTGTGACAAATAGCATTTGTGTCATCCCAAACATGAATCACATGCTCTAAGTAAGGTATTATTAAATTTTTATGATTTCTTATTAAAAAATCTAACACTTTGGGTCTAGGTAAGTGTTCAACTTCAGCTATATCTTCAGTAAAAATACTTAAGCCTTCTTCTGGATACTTAGTTAAAACCCAATCCGAAAATTGAAGTATAATATCTATATTAGTTGAGCCTAGTAATAAATATTATTAAGTTAAATAATCTGGTTGTTACATAAATAATAAGAAATTACCAATATTTTGAAGATATTGAATGGTTCGTTGAGGACCTTTAAGGTTCGAGTCTGAATTTTCAGATTGTTTCTGTAAAAGCTCTAATGCTTTACTATGAAGTCCTTTTGTTTGATATAATATTATTAGTTCACTATACTTTTTATATTTCTTTAATGTTGCTTCAGTTTCTAATAAATGACAATGATTTAATCTTAAAAGAGGAGCTATAAGGGCATCATTAGTCTGCAATTAATAATACAATATTATATATTTAAAAAAATTTAGTTGTATTTCACTATATAATTTACATGTAAATAACATTTAAGCAATGTGGTATCAATAATTTGAAGTAATTGTTCTTGATGGCTACTGCTTGATTCATTCATACCAAATTGTATGTTGACAACAGGTTCTTTCAAGAGTTTATAACGTACCTAAAATATTATTTATGTTTTAATTGGTAGAATTTAATTTAATTTATCTTACTTCAGTTAAATATTCAATTAAAGCAACAATTTTAGTTTCAGTTTCTTTTTCAAGTATTTCTCCTTCTAATTCTGAATCATTTTGAGGTAAAAGATTAGGAAATAATCGTATTACATCATAAGGATCTACAATTTTTCATTAACTAGTTAGAAAACTTATTAAAGATAAAATCTACTAAGAAATTTCATATCTTTACCAGTATTTAGTTTCAAAAATTCTCTCATAGATTCTTGATATTTTTTTTTTTCAAATAAATCATTGGCATATAATGTTCTAATTTGAGTAACATTTTTTTCTTTATCCTCAACAGATTCATCAGATATATTCTAAATATTTTTATTTTTATACATGAATTTTTTGTAGAATTTAGTGTAAATAATAAATATAAATTTATACTATACAGCTAATTTTAAAGCAAGTTGAAAATTTTTATCCTCAAGAAGCCATTTTATTTGTTTAACAAATGGAACAGCTTTTAAACACCATACATCTAAAGCAGATGATACATAAATTAAACCGCTTTGACAGGTATACATGTTTAATGTTTTTGACAAAGTAGATATAATTTGACGTACATCTGAACCTTCACTTGGTTCAATAGTGTGGATACATAATTTTTCTCCCATACATACAATTAAATAAGGCTCATCGTACACTGTAAAAAATGTGTTTTTTAATGCTTCAGTCAAACACTTCAATTAATTAAAACCTAACAAATTATAGAGGGTGTATCTGTCCACTTAATAGTATGTTGTTCAGCTACATTACCAGTTGTACTCATAACTATTACATGAGAATCTTTAACAACAGCAAACATAGTATCAGAAATTTTGGTTATGATTGGTTCTTGATTTTTGCCAGTTAAAAATAAAGGTTTTATTACTTCTGTTGTTACCTTGAATATATACAAAAACATTTATTTTATGGAGACTTTACTTCAAAGTTTATAATAAATATTTTTTAAACTATTGAATCTATATGTATATTATTTTTTTGATAATGGTAACATTGTTTCCGAAATACGTATTCGCTTTTTAGTAATTTTTCTTATGGCTTTTTGAGTTCAATATTTTTTAGTTCTAAATTAATATTTATAATTTTAATTTTAAATAAAATTAGCCACAAGTGATCAATTTTTATTCTATAAATATAATTTAGCATTTTTAATAAAAATTAAACCTCACAATCTAATCTAATTTAAAGTATTTTACAACTTTGGAAAATTAAAAAAATTATTACCATAATAATTTTTCAAGCTATTTATTTATTTTGCTTATCATTGAGTATTTAAAATAATAACACTGCCCTTTTTTGCAGTAATCATACAAAAAAACTTAAATTAATATATCAATATCAATTAAGTAATTTTAAATAAAAATATGAGTTGATTCAATAAGTTCTAATTTTATTGAATTTTTAGTCTAATTTGACATAATATAAGAAAAAAAACTTTTATATAGAATTCTTCTTTTATCTATGTAAGACAACTTACATCAAATAAATAATACTCATTTTTACAGCCAATAATGACTGTTTGGTCACACCAAACCATTGTACGTGGTATATCAGGCAAATCAAAATTTTCTGAATGTTCTAAAAAGTCTCTTCCTTTCCAATGATACACTTGTAATTGTCTTTTAGTAGCAACACATAATCGAACAACAGTATTAGTGGCATTTCCTTGTAATCCAGCTGGTGTCTATGAAGTATATTAATTATTAAACACAAACATAGCATTAGTTATCAGTTCGAAATCTATTACAGATAAATAAAAAAAATCTATAAAATTAACCTTAACATCGAGGGTGAAAGAAGTAGCACCTTTAGTTTTCTGTAATCCTGAAGTTTTCAAGAGCAGAACTTTATCTCGTGAAATATCAAGAACACTAACTCTATCATCTAATAAAAAAAAACAAATATAAATATTTTATTTTAAAGTAATTTATTTTACATGGTTAATACCAGTTAAACATATAACAATTTTACACTCTGGTACTGAACCCAATTGCAAAATAGGTCGTTTACTGAAAGTTTTGTTACAATCAACAAGTTGAACTCTAGGACTAGTTGTATACAAAAATATATGTCCCTGGCGATTACCAACTAATAAATAGTTATCTAAAACAAAATTTATATTCATATCAATGATGTAAGTGGGCTCACTATTAACTAATATTATGAAAAAGAAGGGATTTTTCAGTTCATATTAATTAATTTTACAAATAATTTGTTTTTGTAAATTATTTCAATTTTTTTCAGTTTAACACTTCTATAATAACCTAAATGTCCTTTTTTTTATATGCTTTATAAGTTTTTTAAAAAACTATTTACTATAGGTTGACAGGGTATCATAATTCTCTCAGCCATATACTACACAATCAACCTATTTAGAAGTGTATTGTGATCTGAAGATACTCATCCAAAACTATACATTACCCTATTAAAATACTTATTTCTACTCCCCAAGAAGTTGTTACTTATGATTATTATTGCAGTAGAAACAATAGTCATTTGTTAAGATATTTTACTTAATAATATTAGGTTTCATCAAGTCATCATAATTGTGACACTTATTTGAAAAAATCTTGTGTACTCCACTTATTGAATCACTTGAATCACTCAATAAATATACTGAGCCTAATTTGATTAGGTTATAATTTTAAGTTGTAAAATTAAACAAAATAAAGCTTATTAATCTTTATATAGCACATTGTCAATATAAATATTTTATTCAATAATTCTTTTTAAAAAATAAAATTTAATTTACATATTACAAAAAAACATATTACCATAGGCTGTAATACTTTCAATTGGAACAGAATATTTTAAAAGTTTTGATACTTCGTACATTTCATGCATTTTGATCTAAAATATCAAAGAAAATATTAGAATGTTTTGCCAAAAAATTTTTTACAATCATTTGATAAATTTGATTTATAAAAATGTCCAAAAGTTTTAAAGAAAATAACATTAATTGAATCAAAAATGTTCAACTAATAGATGCTTGATGTGAAAACCAATCATTTGCAAAACTTAAATATCTTTTACTAGATATTTATTTTTAATCAAGGGATATCAAAAATTTTAATTTTCACTTCTTGCACATATATTTTTCACGCTAAGCGCGGTAATGTTATTATACTTAATGAATACTTAGTAATGTAATAATCAAATACTTTAAATTAAGATTTGATTAAATAATTTTAGTGTACTACAAAGAATTATAAAAAAAGTTATAAAAGATAATTTGTCTATACACCTTTTTTATTATAAAATTACTGGGAAGCATCACATTTTTTTAATAATTTATGTGAGAGTTAAATGTAAGCAATTGTTTGCAATATTTAAAGCTATTCTTAATTAAGATTTAATTTTTGAAGTACAAAAATTTATTTTTAATATCTTCTTTATCCTCGCCTTAATCCCAACTACTTGGGGGCTACCCTTATCCTAAACTTGCACTTGACACAATCTCTCACATTATCTACACTCAACATCAACCATCTTCATTGCATTAAATAACATCCCTCCATCTTTTCTTTTGGCGTTCCTCTACTTCTGCTTCCTTCAACATTCATAAAGTCGTACTCTATATACATTGCTTTACTCCTATTTATTCTTAAACCTTTCTTCAAGAGCTTATCTCACACCTCTAGTCTTTGATTAATTTCATTTTTATTTTTTTCTATTAACACTAGATGGACAAAAAACAACATGAACCACAGTGGTACCTCTCCTTGTATTTCTCTAATAATTTCATCCATTACTATAGAAAATAAGTAAGGGCTTAAAACAGAACCTTGGTTTTACTCCTACTCTTACCCTAACACCTTCTGTTACTCCTCCCACACTTTTTACCCTGATACTAGTGCCATCATACATATCCTCTATTATTTAAATGTACCTTTTCGAGATTCTTTTTCTTATTAATACCCACTTTAAAACCTCTCTCGGTACTCTATTATACACTTTTTCTAAATCTATAAATACCATATACAGCTTTTTCTTCTTTTCCCTGTAATTTTCTATTTGTTGTCACATAAATAATGGTTCTATTGTTGATTTACCAGGCATAAATCTAAATTGGTTTTTAGTTACCGATGTCTCATTTCCTCTAAACTTATCTATTACCTTTTCCTAAATTTTCATACTATGACTCATAAGCTTTATGCCTCTATAATTTCCACATTACTGTATGTCTCCTTTATCTTTAAATATCAGAACCACAACACTATTCCTCTATTCTTTTAGCATTTTCCCTTCTAATAAGATTTTATTAAAAAAGTCTTTCAACCACTTTATGTCAACACTGCCTAATATTTTCTATACTTCTACTGGCACTTCATCTGGTCCTACTGCTTTATTCTTTTTCATCGATGATACAGCCTCCCATACCTCTTTTTCACTAATTAAAACTACCAGTCCTTCGTTTCACGAGATATCCTCTAAAAGATACTTTTTTGTATGAGGATACTCCTCATTCAGTAATTTTTCAAAATATTCTTTCCACCTTTTTTTCACATCATCATTACTCGATAGTACTCTCTTATCAACACTTTCTATACACCTTACTTTGTGATAGTCTTTAGACCTTTTATCTCTTACTTTTGCAAGTCTAAAAGACTACTTTTTCACCTTCCTTTGTTCTTAGCCTATAATACAACTCATCATATCTCTTTAACTTCGTCTGATTTACTGCACATTTGGCTTCTTTACACAAGCATTTATACTCCATTCAATCTTCTTTTCTTTTGCTCTTCTACCATACTTTGAACTACTTTTTTTTACTTTCTATGATTTTTTTAACGTCCTTATCCCACCACCCGGTTTCCTTGTTTCCTAGCATTCTAATCCTACTCTCACCTACAATCTCCTTTACAGTATTCTTTACACAACTAGCAAATCTATTCCACACATCATTTATGTTTCTCTTGATTTTCCTCCTATGTTCTTTCTGTTTTTGTATATTCTCTTCCCACTTCACCATAACTTTATTACCATCAGTGTATGTTGTGAAGTTACACTCTTGTCTAGGATAACTTTATAATCTTTTATTTGTTTTACGCTCTCTTTTGCACATGAAATAATCAATCTGTAATCTATTACTCTCAAAAATATATATCTTTCTCTAAAACACTTCCTAGTCTACTTCATCAAATCCTATTTGTAGTGCATAGGCACTTATTACATTTAACACTTTTTTCTCGGAAATTAATTTTATGACTACAATTCTGTCACTTTTTCTAGCTACTTGTACTACTTTACTTTTCATTTCCTCATCCATTTTATCCATACACCATTTTTTGTATTAGACTTTTCTGAGTATATTATCTAATAACCCTCATCTATTTCACTTGTTTTCTCTCCCTTCCACTTAGTTTCCTACACACAACAAATGTTAACTTTTCTCCTCTTCAATATTTCTACCATTTTTCGAATTCTGCCAGATAATGTTCTAACATTCCATATACCTATTCTTACTTTGTACCTATCTTTCTCCCTTATACACAAGTTCAACCTAGAGTTAAGTAATGATTTCCCTACTCTGTTGACACTACAAGCATTATGTAACAGGTAGACCTGTACATATGACTGGTGAAACAGCTACTGCACAAGTTGTCCGCCTGGTATCAAACATTTTATTTTTTAGATCTTCTTCATTTTTAACTATTTTATTTCCTCTCACCTGTTGTCTCTGCATACATCTGAGATGGGACAATCTACCTAAATTTTGTTCAGGACACCTCATACTTTTTGGCAAAATTTTATGCTGGCTGTCGACCCGATACAACCTCATTAGTCATCTCTTACAGCTGGCAAAGAAGCCGTGAAAGTATTCTTATCCCCTATCCACAAGAAAAAAAATTAATTTTATATATTAATGTATATTTCTGTCAAATTTCAATGTACAAAATAACTTTAGTTTTATTTTTATTAACAATTTTTGTTAAAAGTTGTGTCCTCTAGGAATCAAAAGAATAAAATCTATAATGAGAATTTTAGCAAAAATAAAATAAATTATTATCCTTAAATTAAAGTCATAAGTGTTTTATTTTGCTCATATAATTGCTTTTGAAGTTGAATTTTAGTGAAAAAAAGTTATTTAAAATTTTAATAACCCCATATCCTAAAAATTTTTTTAATAATGCTACTGATCCACGTTATAGTTAAACTCAAAGAGTGTCTATTGAAATTAAACATATTTTTGATTATGGAGGATGATATGACAATAGTTTAGAGATTTAATCTACAAAGTTATCCTTTGATTGCTAAATACTAAATTTCTTTTGGAATGATAAGCCTTTAGAAAATTTGTTCTTGGGTTTTGTTAATTACATATGTATTTCTATTTATTTATTATAAAATATTTTTTAGGTTTGCCTCATATATCTTTTAGAAGTGTCAACTTTATTTTTTTTAATGGCAACATACATATTAAACTAGTTTACAAAATAGAAAATGACTAGTAGATACAACTTTTGAACAAATAGATTTAAAATTATTAACATTTTAAAATATAGGCTAGTGGTGAAGTACAGATACTGCTATTTTTATCACTTATCATTAGTCAACTACATTACTCTTTCTCCCAGGAACAAAAATGCTAATAATTTCCAAAGTATTAGTCTAAAAGTTGTTATCAGCCAGTCATTTTCTTAGTTAGATCATTTTCTATTTTATAAACTAATTTAATATGGATGTAACCATTTAAAAAAATAAACTTGATACCTTTATAATACACAAGGGATGGACCTAAACATTATTTTATAGCAGAAATAAAAATATACGAACTTACAAAATCCAAAAAATTTTGTTTAAAAAACTTATTATTTTGAAAGAGATTGAGAGGCTAGTGTTAACAAAATCACTTTGTATAATAATTTAAAAATAATATAATATTACTTTAAATGTTTTTACATAAAAATAATCAATCTAGTTTGATAAGTAGCTATTACATGTCATAAATGATATCCTTTTCCCTTATATGCAACTATTACTATTTCATATAAATTGATGCTTTTGAAATTTATATTTAAATTCTTCATACCATTATTGAGTTTGATAATAGGTACAAGTATGAAATTAAAAAAATATATTTTTATTTATGTCTATTACAATTTTTTTCTTATAAGTCTGTACTATAAATACTCTGATAATATAAAAATTGTATGCATAGTTTATCCAATATTTTTTTCTCAATATTTGATATATTACCAATAGTCTCTTCAATTTTTTTTATATTTAATTTGATTAATATTTAAACCAATTGTTCATTAAAAAAACACCAAATTTTCTTTTGAATAAGTCATATGAAATTTGCAACAATGCAGTACAATTTAATAAAGTACACTACACTTTGAAAATATTCAAAATTAAATATGTATTTATATGCATATTATAATTAATTAATTGTATTATTCAAAAGATTACTTACCTTTAGAAGCTCAATTTTCTATGAATATTACTTGTAATATAAAAAAAATAGGCATATATTTAAGCATTAACAAAGATATCCAAAAAATGTTTATTTATATTTCTATTTACACATAAAAATAAAAAAATCCGTTTCCATTATTTATAAACGATATTTCCAATATTTTTGTATTTTTTATTTTAGTAATAAAATATATAATATTACTCATGTAATAATTTATAATTTTGATTAATCGGATGAATAGTATACCACTTTTTGATTTCTTACGAGTGAGTTAATAATAATTTCATCACAAACTTCAGAACTTCACCAAGAATAAGATATTTTCATTATAGATATGACACAGATAATAAATTTGGGAAGACAAGCTGAACAGCTGAAAAATGATAAGAACTAAAATGCATATTGAAGATCGGTACTCTATTACAGCTACAGGTTGTATTACACAAGTATTATATTATACAAGTTCTACATATTTCCAAAAAATAAGTTTTTCCGAAAAATCATAAAGAAACATTTCAATCTTAAAACTGTCATTATTACTGTTTTCCATAACATACTATTCTGAAATACGCATTACTATTGATTATAAATATTTATAATCAATGGTATCAAAATGTAATTTATATTAAGACTAAATCTGAGAATATAAAGATAATATTTGGGTATATCCCATATTGAGAATAAATCAATAAATAAATAATAGTCATAAGTGTAACTAGAATGTAATATTTGAGGGTATTAAATTTAATTTCCCTTCCCAAAAAATATTATTTAACAAATATTTAATTTTCTAAATTGAGGAAGAGATCATAATTTTTTGACCAGAAGAGCTAAGGCCCCTTCCTTAATTGCGTCCATGGTTCTAGACCATTTCAAAATAAGATTAAAAATTTTTAAAAAATCATATTACGCTATTAGAGACTTGTACTTCCGAATGAGTACAAAAGACCATTTACTTTTATGTGTAAATTATTATTTTTTTCGAGTCCCGAGCCATAGATTCTCATTTAAATCTAGCATTTATTGATAAGGTAAAATATTTAAAAATTAATATAACTTTTTCCTGTCTCATTCAACTATCAGCTATTAACTAACTTTCAATATAAATTTATAAAATCAATCTGCTATCATGGTTGCCATAAATTTAAAACTTTCAAATTCCCTGACCTTCCAGTCAATTTTAAAATTATTTCCATAATTAACTTAAGAGTCAGATATATAAGATCATATAAGACTCCATTCTTATGAAGGGTGTCTGATTTCATTAACCTTCCAGTTATTTTTATTGTTTGTATATTTATAGGAATTTTGGAAATACTTTATGTTCAACCTTAAAAACACCTCTTAAAACTTCCTCCTAGCCCAGAAGTGTAAATATAGATTTATAGAATGGTTTGTAAACGTAAATCCACATAATTTTTTTTATGTAATAAATCTTGTAACAAGAAGGTTTAAACCCCTAACTCCTTCCTTGTATTGTCTAATAGATTAAAAAAAATTCCCGACATTTGCATGATTTTCCTGACTAAATCTAAATGCCCTGACTTTTCAAAATTTACCAAACTTATGGAAACTATAGTTTTAATTTAACTGCAAGTCTAAAAAGTCAGTTAAAATTTTTCTAATAATTTTTTTAGTATAAACTAGGTTTGTTTTCTTTAAAAATAGAAAATAGTTCTTAAATAATCTAAATAATTTCTAAATATTTATTACATATATAATATATTTTTTAATTAACAACTAAAGACAATAAATTATGGAGTAATATAAATTTAAAAAAAAAATTTCCTATTGAAAAAACTCTTGAATTGGCACAATTCTAGTACTTTCATGGCAACCGTTGAAAAAATATTACGTATGTCGCAGTGATCAATCCACCATTAGACTAGAATTTGCACGTTATCGAAAGGATCGTTTTCTATTGAGATTAGCTTAGATATCTATTAATCATGGAGTATACGATAATAATCTAAGGTCGTAATCGACACCTTTGATTTTTTAAAAAAAACTTAGACAATATTAGAACAAATCTGTCAATATCTATTTTAATATATTTAAGAAATTTATTCATTATGAGTAGCATATATTTTTATCGAAATGGATGAATTGAATTCATATAATTTATGAATTTCATACGTAGTGATAGGTAGTAGGTGTAATGACAGACATATATATTGACTGTGAAATAGAATGACATCACTACGATAACAGGTTAATACCAAGACAATGATTTTATCTGCAATTAAAACAGTTGTTTGAAAAGTACATTGAGATAATATTTAAAACATCATTATTAAAAAACTTTTAGTTAAATATACGCATGGTCACATAATAAATTAAAAACATTCAAATAATTTCCTATGATAAGAAAAAAGTTTTGTTCTCAATGTAATCAATTTTTCAAGTTTTATTGATATTTTTGAAGTTTTTTTAATACGATAGTAGTGGCAACACTTAGACCAAGGTTGTGTTGGGCGGCAATTCATCTCCCTCTTCAACACCCAGCACCATCCCAACCTCTATGCTTTATCTGAGTCCGTCTTGGTTTATCATAAGTCGAGTCACTAATCAAAATCTGTTGGTGTGAACTTGTGGGGATAGGCTGTAGCTGTGAATTTAACTTAATTTACAACATCAAGTCACCAAATAGTCGACGTAATAGAGACTACTGTATGTTTGCTGGTTAGTCTATAGTACGTTATACGTATTTGGCAGTATCAACGAATAATATGTAATATATGGTAAGTGTTTTAATATAATAACATACATTTTGCAACTCTTCCAATACATGATTTTATTAAATAATATTACTCAGTAAAGTGTACGTTTGTGTTGCTAATTAATGTAAATATAGGTATTGTTTTTATATTTATACAAGTAATATTTTCATCATAATATGTCTTAGTAAGCCATGAGTTATCGGAATCGGCTCTCCCGCGCCGCTAAGAATAATAACGAACCATTGCCGAGAAACAAAAACATCATTAAACACGATTGTTGTAGTACGAGTAAATTACGAGCTAGTAGTGTTGAGAATGATAGAATTAATGGCAACCATGAAACACATAGAAGTGCTATTTCTGTAGATAGAGTTTCAAATATTTACAGAAATTCAAGGTAGTTTCGGTTTACCCGAAACTGTGGAATCGAAATATATAACAATCCCTACAATTACAGATTAAATCAATCTACAAGCGAGTCTAGCTGTGCAGCCAACTGTCGTACTCCATCAAGAAATACTGCAAAGTCAACTCTAAACCGTTCTTATTTAAATTCACCAAGCACACCTCTAAAAAAAGTTAGCATTAAATATTCTTATGACAAGTAAAATAAAACTATTTGATATTTCTTGTAAAAATAGAGTATTTCTCTTCTAATTATTATTATAAAGGTGTCTATTAGAGGAAGAGGAACTACAACAACACCTCCTCGATTTAGACGTGAAACATCTCTTTCAAAAAAAATTGTGGATAATCAACAAAATAAGGAATGCCAATCTTCTCCGGTAGAAATGCCGTCAAAACAATCTTATGTATTCACTCAAAATTATTATGACAGTAGTTCTGTGGAGATAATTGAAGAATCATGTTCTCCACAAATAACATTACCTATTCCAACAGAAATATTAAATACAAAGTCAGCTATATTAAACCGTTCTGATGACGATGAAGAAAAAGCTACTGGGATTTCACCTGATGGAAGGTAAATTTTTTAAATAAATGTATTTTTTTTATAAAATAATATATTATTTTGTTTTTATTTAGATTTCTTAAGTTTGATGAAGAATTAGGACATGGTTCTTTTAAAACTGTCTTTAAAGGATTAGATACTCAAACTGGAGTTGCAGTAGCGTGGTGTGAGCTTCAGGTAAAAATTTAATACTTAGATACATTTTTATAAATGAACTTAATAAAATAGAAACATATTAAAAATCTTATTATACTTCCTAAAAGTGACAATTTTTCTAATAATGGAATATATGATTATAGTAAATATAGATATTAGAAACTTTACTACAGATCATAAAAAAACATAACTAAGCAATTCATTTATGAGATTAAAGCCTTCTTTCTTATTACTTAGATGCTTAGTTGTGTTATCCTGTGTCACAGTATAATTCTAAAAAAGCAAACATTTTCCATTTAATTGGTTTAATTTTTACAAACAATAATACAATATCATTTAATTACATATCGATATTCTTGAATTAACAAAATTATGATATAGTGCTTAACAATGTGTTTAACATTTTTGTATAAAACGAGTTATCAAAATTTATTGATTAATTATTATTTAAGGAAAATAAACTAACAAAAACAGAACGTGCTCGATTTCGTGAGGAAGCTGAGATGCTTAAAGGTTTACAGCATCCTAATATCGTACGATTTTATGATTATTGGGAAGTATCCTTAACAAAGCGAAAATATATTGTTCTTGTTACTGAACTTATGACTTCTGGTACACTAAAAACCTATTTAAGACGTTTTAAAAAAATTAATCCCAAAGTACTTAAGTCATGGTGCCGACAAATAGTTAAAGGTTTAAGTTTTCTGCATTCAAGAACTCCTCCAATTATTCATCGTGATTTAAAATGTGACAATATTTTTATTACTGGTACTACTGGATGTGTAAAAATTGGAGACTTAGGATTAGCCACTCTAAAAAATAGATCATTTGCTAAATCTGTTATTGGTAAGTAATTTTTAATGTCTTTATATATATTGGTTCAATTTAAAAGACAACACTGCAAACCCAAAAGGCTTAATAATTTTTTTTTTAAATATTTAAAGACATAAATTTTTAAATCGTGTATTAGTATATTTTTACAGTTTATATTTTAATAGGTACTCCAGAATTTATGGCTCCTGAAATGTATGAAGAACATTATGATGAAAGTGTTGATGTGTATGCCTTTGGAATGTGTATGCTTGAGATGGCTACTTCTGAGTATCCTTATACAGAATGCACTGGACCTGCTCAAATTTATAAAAAAGTGATAAGTGTAAGTTTATTTTTTTAGGTTTGAATAGTCTTTTTTTTCTTTTTTTTATTGTTGCAGTTTTACATTCTTGGGTTATAGCCAAAATCATTTTACAATATTTTTCAACAATTTACACAGATATTTTTTACAATGATATTACTTTTAAACTGTATTTTTACTTTAGGGTGTAAAACCTCTAAGTTTTGATAAAATTGAAAATCCAGAAATCAAGGATATTATAGAATCATGTATAAAATTGAAAAAAGAAGAAAGGTATAATCAGTTTTTTAGATAGCTCCTATGATTTTTATCAGTAAAAATATGAAATAATATTAAATAGTCTTATAATTTTAATAGACCCTCTATTAAAGAGTTATTGGCTCACGATTTTTTTATGGAAGATCCTGGTATAAAATTAGAAATGGTTAGTCGTACTGATAGTCGTATTGAATTTCGTTTACGGGTTCTTGATCCAAAAAAAAGATGTAGTAATAAGCATAGGGAAAATGAAGCAATACAGTTTGATTTTGAAATAAACAAAGATAATGCTGACGATGTAGCCTCAGAAATGGTATAATTAACTAATAAATATACTTAATAATAGTGATCTAAGAATAATTAATTTTATTAGGCAAAATCTGGATTAATTTTGGAAGAAGATAGTAAAATTATAGCCAAGATGTTAACCAACCATGTGTTTAATTTAAATAAAGAACAAAATGAAAAAAGAGATGTGCCAATTGATGAAGGTATAATTTATAATTATTATTTTTATATACAACATTATTTTTGTTTATTATTTTTTATTTGATAATAGATGAAGTGAGCTCAGATATAAATGTTTCTCAATTTCGACAACCTGAAACTGTAGTTATGTATCAACCTCCAAAATTAAACCATCAGGTAAGTAAAAAATTATCATTTTACTTTATTTATTTTTGATATTTAAATTATTGAAACCCAAAGAGTAATTTTCAAACTTCTGTTTTAGAAATATAAAATCTTTAGTATTATAAAAATATAAAAATTTTAATTGGTTGATGTGATATACAGTCATTGTGGTTCAATCAATACTTCACTTCAAAACTAATAATAATAATAATAATATTATGAATTATATTTAATTATAATTAAATATATATATATACACATTTTAAATACTAACTCTTGGTTATCTTTTTGTACATACACAGGATGATGAATGTAACAAAAATGAAAATCCATTAGTTGATCATATTTTTCTAAAACCAGGTAGTGAGGTGAATGTAGCTGAGCTTATAAATCAAGAACATATATTAATACAGACATCTCCGACCAAAAGTCTACCATTTAGAACTGTTGATGCTGTATGCCAACAAGATAATTATAGGAAAATATCCAATATTTCTACAGCATCTACAGACTCAGCCTATACATCTGACACTAATGGAGCATACAAACATATATCTGAACTCAATCAATTACCAAATATGGTTGAAGTTGTACCAGAAGGCTATATTCAGAATGGAAATAACAATATTTATCACCAAGAACCTGTTATGTATCAGAATGTAGAGCAAATTATTAACCAGGATATCCCAAACTTTATTCCAACTACTATGGCCCAATGGTCTTACCCTATTCAAAACATTCCAAATCAGCCAACTTCATTAATACATGATGAAATGCAAAGGAAAATATCTACAGTATCTTCAGTTTCAAATTTGTCATCATTATCTTCAGATTCTGTACAAGGACTGATGCAACAAGATATTCAACATCATGCCATTATACACGAAGAAAATACACTACAAAATAGTCAAAACTTATTATTTGTTCAAAATCAAGATCCACTTAATGCATCTCAATGTGGTGATACATTAAATTATTATAAAGCTCAATCTCCATGTGAAGAATATCAACCAAAACTTTACCAAGAAAAACAAACATATCCAATTTGTAATCAAACTAATATGACAGAAGACTGCAAAATTGTTGATGAAAAATTAGATAATGAACCACTGATGACAAATACTATGGATAATGATGTTAAGCTACTTCAACGGTAAAATTGATTTTTATAGATAGAAAATATTTTTAGTCAAGTAGTTTGTATAATTCGGTTAGACCACATCATACCTCAAAACAAGTATTGGGGTTTCATTCCATTCTGCCAAACTAAATGTTTTCTGTGTTCTTTTTTACTCTCGGTAGTATAAAAAATATATTATTAAATATAAATATTTATTACAATAATTATAAGTAATAAATTAAACATTTTGAGAAACTTATAAAATTTGGTTCATTTATGTAATTTTGTTGATTTTTTCATTTTATGTTGAAAACTACAAAATTAGAGAAAATAAAAATATGTATCACTTGTGATACTTTCGTGTATTTTTCAATCAATACTACAAGATTTCATGGTTTTACATGCGCTTAGTATTAATGAAACATTATGATATACTATTAAGTTAAGCGAGACTTATGTCTTTCTCTAAAACATTGTTTGTACGCAAGCTTAAAACATATCTACGCTAAACTTCTTAATTTCTCCATGTTCATTTTAGACAAAAATATAAATATTAAAATTGAATTGATGATATTTTATACATTTAATCATACCAGTTTTTTATTTTATCTCTCGATGAAAATTTGTTAAATAAAGTTTAATTTTTGAACAATAATTTTTAGTATAAAAATTAGCTATAAAGAATTATGTAGTATGTTTTGAATTAACAAAAAAATAATAAAAAAAATTTCCAAAAATATGTTATAGTTGAAACTGGTCAAATGTAGTAAAGTATAAAAATCATTTTAATCTTGTTATTTTACATTTGTGTTTCTTTTACTATTATTTCTGTGATTACTCACCTAATTAAAATTAAATTTCTGTTTGAAGTATAGTCTAAGTTTCTATTTTTATTTATAGATCTGAAAATAATTTAGATGAAACTTCTGTCATAAAAGATACCGCTACAAGAAAGAAGAGTAGAACTTCAGGACCATCTTTAAATTTACTAGCTGTTTATGATAATCGTCAAGCTGAATGCCAATTAGAAAGTAATAAACATAAAACAGTCACTTTCAGATTTAATATAGATGATGTGGTTCCATATGATGTGGCCAACAAATTAGTGAGTATTAATATTTTAAGTATTATTCCTAACTTAAAGTTATCTTAGGTCAGCAATCTATAAAATAAATATAAATTTTAGGTCACTGAAAATCTATTAGAAGTATCTCATATTGATTTAGTTGCTGAAATGATGAAAGATTTAGTAAATAAACTAAAATTAGATATGCAACCATTACCAAATTCAATTGTTGCTTTCGAATTACCAAAAATTGAGGTTTGTAAAATTGCTTAAAAAAATATATTCCCTTATATAAAGAGAAATTTTATATTTTAAATTGAGGTATTAGCATAGGAAAGGTACTAATCTCAAAAAAATCAAATTTCCACTTTTAATGTATATTGTAGTAAATACAAATCCTAACAAATTTATGAAAAAAAAATTATTTGATATTTGTGTAGAATAATGCACAAAATAAAAAGACATTTATCAATAAATCATGGAACTTAGAATATTAATTTTTTTCTTTTGAAGAATCTATTTTTTGTGATTTAGTACCTTCTCTATGACATTGCCTGAATATGATTATTAATCTAATATGAGTTAACAAAAAATAATTTTTTTTCAATCATTTACTACTCTTGTATAGACATTCGAAACATTCATTTTTTTGATCTATTGTTATTTGGCCTATAACATTGAGGTCTATCTTGAAATTTAGTCTATACTACAAATGCTGCTACAATGATTTTTAGTGTAATTTTTGTCAAAACCAAAAAATGTTAACTCTAATTTAGAATTAAAATTATTATAACTAAAGCACAGACTTCGGGCCCTTCTTAGATTAGATGATGAATTATTTGTTATAAATTATATTATGTTACACAAGTAGAAGTTATATATCTCTTCCAAAACACATCAGTAAATAAATCAAACACTGATGTTAAAAATTAATTTTAATTAGTATTAATAAGATAATCTAATATTATTAGATAGTAAACACAACAAACATGTAATAGACGACATTTTTGTTGAGTAAACTTTTTGCTAGTTATACAATCTTGTTAGTAGATATTGTAAATTAAACGTTTTGTAGTAGATTATAAGACCTTTAAAGGGGTATAAAATATCAATGTTTAAATAAATATTAATAATTTAAAAGACTTTTCCTCTCTTTCTTTTATTATAAAATACAAAACTCATGATTTGATATTTAACTGATTTTAGACTGAACCTGTGTTGTCAGTTTTGTCAGAGTTGGAAAGTACAACAAATACAATCTCTAATGATATGCTTTTAGAAAATGTTAATGATGTAGAGGAAAAACCAGAAGTAGAAAAGAAAAAACCAGTAAGTTATAAATATGGTAAAAACTATACTTTTTTTAAAAAACTAATACATTAAATCTAAGCAATAAATGTAATATATATTTCAATATTGTGTTAATTCATTTTTAGGTTAGAAAGATATCTAGATTTTTAGTAAGTCCAGTTATTGCTGAACAAACGTCTGAAGTAGTAAGTTATTTTCTAAATAAATTTTAGTTAGTCATTATTATGGAGTCTTTTTTAGTGCAATAATGATAACACTAAACCAAATGAATTGTTGAGTCCTGAATCACTACAGAAAAGTATTCTCACTGAAATGATCACTTTAGCTAGTACAAATGTCCATTATTTACCATCATGCCCTTATGAAGACTCATCTAATTTTGAATCTAATCTATGTCAACTATCAGATTCCAAAGTTAACTCTCAAATTCCAACCGATATGTGAGTATATTTTATGTTTCATTAAAGTTTTTACTTTAAACATTTTTATTTTTCATAGAAATCAAAAAGGAGGGTCATTGACTATATCTGAACTCCAGCAAAAATTAATACAACTAACAGCTCAACCATCTGAAATATCATCTGGTACTCCACCAATTGGATCTCATCCTAGTACACCTCACACAAATAGCTGCTATGAATCATACATGAATACTCTTCAAAAACGCTTAGCTTCTATTTCAATGCCTACTGGCCACATACTAGTAAGTCTTTTATTTTTTTTTCATTGTTACTTGATAGTAAATACTATACATAAATAAATTAGAAGTTTCTCAATTTATATGTAGTTATTATACAAAAAACTATAAATTATGAAATGTTTTATGGTATTTGTAGGGACCACTATCTCCACAAAGTACTTTGCATGCCATTAGTTCTGCTACTTCTAAATTAAAAATTCCATCAGCGATTGAAGTTATTAAGCCCATGCAACCTGTAGCCATTGGTGTGGAAGAAGTACATATTGGAGATGAAGTTGGCCCTATCGTAGTACATGCAGTTCAAGCTCAATCAATTATATCAGGTAATGAAAATCCTCAACATGTTATTATGCCAGATGAAAACAAAGACCAACACACATTGGTAGTCCAACCCTTACCCGGTCATTCTGTTATGGTGCAATCAGTACCTATAAGATTTTTGCAGAATCAAGATCATTCTATTACTGTAAGTTATAATAGCATAGTTTTATTATTACTAACTTTAATGTATATACATATAAATATTTATATTTTTTATATATTAGGATATTGAAACCACTCCAAATTCACAAAAAGATGATGCAAAAGAAAGAAAAGTGAGCCGTGCACAGTCAATAGATTTACATAGCTTAGAACAAGTAATTCATAAAATATAAGTACTATAAAATGTGCAAAATTTCGATTTATAAATATTAAAAAAAATATGTATATATTTTTCCTAAGTTTTTTGTAGGTTTATGGTTATGTATACTTAAAAACTTTATCTATTTGTCTTTTATAAATTTAATAACACTAATAGTAATATTATGTGTCTGAAATTATTTTTAATTATTCAGAAGACTTAAATAACTGCCTTTATAACCATATATTGAATATATTATTGGATTTAAAGCTGGAAAATAATATTTTCAAGTGAAAATTGATAAAGCCAAAAATTATGTTATATGATGATACCATAAGTATTGCAATTTATATTTTGTAAACTAATAATGGTGGTATAAAAAACAATTTTTTTATCTAATATGTATGTTTGTTTCTAATTAATCCTAATAGATTCATTAGAAATAAATGTTTAATTATATATATATTATTGTATTCTTACTAATATTTACAAAATTAAAATTTTTTTATTTGTTATAGAAATTATCTAGTATTCATAGTAATACATATAAAAAATATTCCACAAATTCATCCAATCAACAAATGTTGCAATGTTCTGATCAAAACATACTAACTACTGCAGAACTAGATTTCTCTTGTGATACTAATCAACAGAAATCTCATTCGGTACTAATTGATTGATTATTAAAAACTATTACTTCACTTTTATAAGAGAGTTATAATTTACTAGTAATAATTTTTTGATAAATAAAATTTACAGTAAATCTTAAATATTTATTACTTTAAATAACTTTAAAATGAATTTCTTCTTAATAAACACTATAATATTAATTGCTTGAATAATGTTTGAAGGCATAATTCTTCCTGTAAATTATTTATAATTTATATTTTGCATCACATTTTACTCTGATTGTACCCTTCAAGCATACTGTTAAAAAAATTATTAAGTCATATTCTTTTTATAAACAATTATTATTTATTTGACTTCTTATTTTTTTATATTACTATGTATTATTTTTGTAATTATTTTTTATTTATAAATGTTTTGGAATTTTTAGAGTGAAGAAATATTTCAAGAAAATAAAGAATTAATTTGTCAAAATACAGATAACTATAAACCTACAATTACAACTGAAACTTCTCATTCTACAATTAATAATTCTTTAACGCCATTGGATTTACAACATTTATTACATAGGTTAGTTGATTGGTTTTAATTATTTCCAGTTTTCATAGAACATTAAATTTTAATACTTTTAAACATTTTTAAATTAAAATGTTTATAGATTTTTAATATAGATTTTTACTTTTTAATTAGACAATGGAATGAACTAGATAATTTACGACGACGTCATGTAGAAGAAATAAAAACTTATATGCAAATGTTAAAACCTGAGAGCTTACAATCTACAATTCTTTATGAAGCATTGTCACCTCTTACCAATGCTGGTATTTACTATTATATTACTATTTAGTTTAGCAAAAAAAAAATTAGAACAGTTTATTGAGCATATTACTTTTTAGGTAAAAATTTAGCAACTGAAACTAGCAATAATTCTCGATCAACGTCACCAATATTAGACAATACTGTTATGCGATTCACTCCTACAGGTTTATACTTTTTACCCGAGTCAGTGAAGTTATTATCATCCAGTTTAGTTGACTCTCATCAACAAAATACATGAAAATATTATTTTAAAAAATATTAAAATTAATCTAAATCTTAAGCGTACTATTGAAAAATTCAATATTTTCTTTTTCCAACTGTGTATATTTTTAAATTGAAACGCTTATAATTAATTTTTATTTTAATTTGTGTATGTTCCTTAAAAAATTTTATTAATTTGAAATAGAATTTGACTCTTATATAAATATGTCACACACACACATTTATATATATATATATATATACTTGTGCAAATTTAATGAACATTATGCACATTATAACATGGGTGTTAAACTACTCAGCCAACTCTAATATCTTTATCTTAAAAAATTTATAACAAAAACTTAGTGTTATCTCAGGTTTATTATTTATTGTTGTTTGTTGCAATATTGATGCATTTTTGTCTATTATTATTATTATTTTTATGGTGTACTATAAACTTATTATTGTAAGTTACAACACTTATTGTAATTTACATAGTCTAGTCTAATTAAAGTAATTTTGTAAGTAATAAGATTAAAGAAACTTGCAAATTATTAGTTAAATACCAGTGTAATATAAAAATCTCTTTTTTTTTTTAATAAGTATTTAATAAAACAAATATAAATGACTGTAACATTTGATTTGAGGTTTTTTATTAATGAAGTTAATTTGAATTGACTAAATTCAAGGTCATGTGTAATCGTTTTAAAAATGGCTATTAGAAAACCCAACCCCTAAAGCATATGACAATCTTTAAAATATTAATTTTAGAACAATATACATCTAAAAAGAGTGTGAAGAATTTAAATTACTATTATATAGTTCAACATTTTTCAAGAAATATTACCACTATCATTTAATCATTTATCAAAATTTCTAAAATTTTAAATTTTGATTGGTTACACATTGCATTTATGGTTAAGACAGATGTAGATTTTAATATAATTTTAGTTATGTTAAAACAAGATCGGGTAAATCATTCTTATTTGAATGTAACTTTTTAAAATTATTAAATGATAACCAAAAACAAAATAAAACATGAAATATTTTAGTTAAAAATTCGACAAGATGACAAAGTTATTTGTTGACACTTAACGTTAACCCCGTTATTCTACTTTTATGTGTACTAAAAATAATTAGTATTTATAATGAAAAAGTCTTAAAATCCATGTTTTAGTGTCTCCGCATTCTATAATTAGTTAACAACTTGATTTTAAATCCACAGTTATATTTTTATCGTTTCTTTTTCAATTTAATAATTATACTGTTAATAACTGTTTGCCAACTATTAAACTTTTAAACCCAATATATTTGACATAATTGTTAACAGAATTATGCATTTAACTCAACTTGATAATATTTAAACATTAATATTATTGTAATCGGTGATAAGTTTTATTGTGGAAAACTGTTATCAAATTAAAGACACTTAATTGATATGTTATCTTATTATTATTACTACTATAATATCTTATAAATAAGTTTAACAAAATTGTTTTAAATATTTATTAGTTAGACAACTGTTATTAATATAACATTTGATATTTCCTTTTTTTATGTAAAAATTTAAAATTTCATTATGTCATTTAAGTGTTATTGAATATATTGTACGAATTATAATCATTATAAAACGTTATAATTTATGAATTGACAAAATTACAAATATTTATATAAAACATATTATTTTATGTATCATTCATGTTAGAAGGATGTTTTTAACTCTTCTTGCTTTCATTTTTTATTATTCATACCTGAGTATGGAAAGAAACTACTTTAACATTAGTAAGGTATTAGTTGTTAAAACACTTAGAAAAGCATTAAAGACAAAATGAGGTAAGTATTAAATGGGGTGGCATGGGTTGTACAGAAAAAATTTATAGCAATGTGACCTTTACTTTTATACAAGTATTATTTTCTGAGTTTATCCTAGATGTATGTTATTGATGGCATTATAACATAATATAATAAATCTTATTTAAGCTATCATTCAAAACAAATTTATTAAATATTTATTTGTTAAGTACTATTTCAGTGTTGAATGTTACCTGAAATCAAATAAAACCTAATAATTCTTTCAATAAAATCAGCAAGATAATTGATTCCTTACAATTTTCTTGTTGATAACAACAGCACGATGTCTTTATTTAACAAAAATGACCCCAGAATAGAGAAAACTAATTAAGTTATTAAAAGAGCATAACTTTTATTTAATTTATGTGCTATATTATTTAAAAAAATAATTTTAACCAACTTTTTACATGCAAATTGTTTGATACATTGTATGAGAATAGTTTAAAGATATCTACTACACATAATTTTTCGTTGTGACTAAATAAAAAACTATTTGTTTCATATTTTAATTAATAAGCTTTGGCTTAAGCAAGTAGCAAGAGAACTACAGTTTTCTTTTAATAGAATATTAGTGTAATCTGATTTAGCTTAGTACTCATTTTACGCATCATGGAAAGCAGCTTATCATTTTATTAAATTTGTATTCTTAGAGTAGCTTCAGTATTTTATTAGTGAATTAATATAACATTTATTGTAAATTAATATTTCCTAACTTTATTATTTATTAGATGATTTGAGCACTATTAATTCAGATATAATTGATATTAATAAAGACATGAATTATATTGGTACATGTGACAAACAATCATTAGTAAGCTTATTGGGTAGTTGTGATGAAACTGAAATTAATCAAGGGGAGTGTAGACTTAGAGTGAAACCTCTAGATGCATTATTCAATGAAAAAATTAAAGAAGAATCAATTGATGATTGTATAAGCCAGACTATCATAGAATTGAAAAATGAAGATATTAATGAAGAAGAAAATAAAAAAGAAATATTTGTTGATAAACGTGAACCACCTAAGGCTATAGCTATTAACAACAAACAACAAAAAGTTGCTATACCAAAATTAAAAAGGATTAATTCTTTTATTAATGAATCTATTAAAAAATCGAAAGTTAAGAATACCTACAAATTAAGATCTAGTAAACCAAGAGCCATATTACCAATGAAACACTCTACAATATCTGCAAAAGTCTCAAAGTTAGATCAAACACCAAATTCTGGTCAGATTTTAATGCCATCGCCACAAATGTCTGGAATTGCATATCAAATTATATTAAAAAATCATGAAACAACAAATGCTAATAATCAGCTTCAATATACAATGCTACAACCACAGTCATTATTTCTTCAACAAACACCAAATTCTGCGACTTCATCATCTTCTGTTATGATAAATCAATCATCTCAAAGCATGGTTATAAATCAACCATATCAAGTAACACAAACTACTGCTCAAATTCCTGTTCCAAATAAGATTGTTGCTCAAAATTACTGTACATTTTGTTACTGTGTTGTGAACAATATGAATGACCATTTGATAGAATGTTGGGCTAATCCTAATAGTAAAAATTATAAATTTAGGAAAATTGCTCCATCTAAATCCTAAGTTTGATTTCTGAATTTATTTTATTAATATGTATATAGTTTATTAAATAAAATTATATGTATCATATTATTTTAAATATAATATTTGAGTGTACTACAAATACAAGCGACATAGATAAAAAAATATATGCATCTTAACTTAATACTAATATAATCAATACTTGTTTTTTTTTTAAATTATTGAGTTATAAAAAAAATGCGATTCAATTTTATATATTATACAAATATAAAATAAACAATGTTAATAACAATTATTTACTATAAAGTATTTTTTATTATTTATTTTGAATTTTAGTTACCATCCCTACATTTTTTATAAATAATAAAATAGTAATATTTTGTTTTTTAACCATAAAATGTTTTTCGTATTGTTAAAAATAATTGTTTTGTATCTATAAGGGCCATTTCAAAAAATTAAAGATAAATAGGTACAACTAAAAATTTGTTGAAATAAAGTTATAATTTTTTTTTACTAGTAAAGACATCCAAAATACACTTAATGAGATAATAGCTTGGTTCAATTTCATTGATTTTTAAGGAAGGATGGAATAATTTAGTTACGAAAACGACTGTGAATACATATAGAGTATTTTTATATATTTATATTTATATATATTTTTATATAACAAAGAATGTTCTAAATTTTTAGGAATACTAAAAGCTCTAATTGAGATTATGATATTGGCTATTAATTACATGTAAAAATATTTATTTTATCCGGCGATGATAAAATTTTATCTATCTCAAAAAACTATTTTCATTTGTAAAATTATTTTATTATGGGAAAATGTAGGTCACTGGGTAAAATTTGTCAATCAAATTTTTTTAAACTAAAATTAGATTCATTCTACTGTATAAGATTATATTTTTTATCATTATTTAAAATATAATTTATACCTATTAAAAATTCCTTTTTTTCTTTCGTTAACAATCGGCGGTACATTTAGAGGTAAACTAAAGTAGACTAGAAAATAGGACATGCTTTTTAAAGGGGGACTATTTATTTAGAAGAGGCTTTTTCTGATTCTATGTATAGAATCAAAAGTTACAGAGTAATTTTATTTAAAAATTTTTTTTTAGTGTCGTTTAAGTAAAGAAAAAATTAAAAATAATTTTTGAGATTTTATTAAAAACACTACAAAGATAATTCAAACATCTATAAAAATCATCTTTAATAAATATAATTTTTTTAGAAGATTCAATAGTTTGTTGATAAAATTTAAATAAATAATTTTAATAGTAAAATGATGAAAAAATATAGTATTACTATATTTTACTAAGTGGAGTTTTATTTTAGAAGCAACAAGATTGACCAAAAAAGTTGGAGTTGATAATGAGCAAAAAATATACTCTTGTGTTCCCTCTAAATACATCCTTGTAAATGTAATAAGTTTTAATGTAATCATACCAAGATATGCATGTTATTTGCACATATACATATTGTGCTCAGAATATTGAAATCGACAAGAATAAAATTTTATTAGTTAACTTCAAACTTTTTCCATTAATTTTTGTTCAACTGTAGTAACATATGTTATTAACTTCAAAAATCCTATTAGTCCTACAATTTCATCTCGTATATTTCTAATAATATAAAAGTTAATACTTGATATAACGTGTTATCATCTTATTGATGTACTTAACCCTTTACTGCATGGAAGTGCATTTATGGATACTTACAAAAGTTACTTTAAATTTCATGTACAAGGGGGAACATTGCAATTATTCTAGAATACATTTTTTTCAAGGTCAAATTTATAATTCATGCATTATGCGTTTCTTTCCGTTTTTCTTATAAGACAAAGGTTTTTTCTTCCATTAAAGGTTTTATATTTTGACCTATGGAGTTTTGTGTGGTATAGGTCGTTTGTCACTAACGTTATTAATATGAAAATAAAACTGCTGTTCTTCAAAAAACTCGTTTTGGAAAGATTTCTTGCATTAAATTGAAAATATTTAATATTTTTTTGTCTAATAAAAATTGTCTGAATAGAGACTATATTTTATCTTAATAGAATTTAAAGAATAAATGAAATCATTTAAACATTAAATTTTGATAGTTTTAGTATCTAAAAATCATTGATTGATGATGAGCGAATTTAAAATATTAATAATAAACATAAATACTTTGTGATACAACATCACTATTAGCTAATTTGTGAAACAAAATCGCTAAGTATTATTGTTTGTCATTTGATAATTATTATTCATATCCATTAATAATAATTATATAATTGCATAAACATGCTCTATGAGAATTATTTATTTAAATGACATTTAGATAAAATAATTATGGTATCGAGTAATGTTAGCGCATTAAACTACAGATATTTAGAGAATATTAAAAAAAAATTATCATTTCGTAATTTAATTGTATAAATGAGCTTATAAACTAATATTTTAACAATTATGGCTTATTATAAAAAAAATTATGATTTTAATAATAATATTAATTAAATTGAGCCCCAAAAAATTATAATCGATGACTTATGACTAACTAATTAAAAATGAATAAAATTAATCCAACGCCACGTAAAGTACTTGAAATAATGGATACGCATATTTATGGTTTTGACAATGTGTAACCAAATATATGTTATACACATAATATGTCGTATCTAGAAAAGTTCGTGATAGTGTTGTGAATAAATTTTAGGTAAGCTATGTGCAAAATGAAATCACTGAATTAAATTATAAATTTTGACCCCCTCCAATTGAAACAACTGTATAATGCAAATGTTTTAAAACTGAAGAAATGTCTCATCTGGTTATTATCACAAATCTGTAGTTTTATAATTTTTTGAATTGGAAAAATATTGTATAAATTACATAATGTATACATATATATCTTTAAAATAAAATATCAATATTGAATTTGCGACCATTTTTAGAAATTTGTGTCATGCTGCACTAGTCTGAAAACCAACAAATGAAGCAAATAATGATAGGAGAAGGGAAATAATTTGAGTGCCGATTCTGTTTCGCATCTTGAAATTAGTGATTCCCGTTGTTTCCAAATATACTATGTTCGTTTTTCGAGTGCTGAACAAAAAGATAGTAACACATAATAAAATTGTCATGTGATGGTATCGTTGTTACATACTTCTTGTACAGAGCAAGTTTTTTTTTTTTTATAGAGAATGCCATCGTCCTACGGTTGATATGTTTATATATAAAAATACGTTTTGTGTATTTCAGCAAAATAGTCACTTGTATGTATATATATATATATGATATTGAGGGATACACAATAAAGAAACGGGGCGCTTAGGACGGAGGACGAACGCGGTGATACAGATCATCACAATGTAATTCCGTGAAATAGAATTCTCTCCCACCACTAGTAGTCGAATGGTCCCAAAAATGTATTATTTCTTTCTTCTTCATTTTTTTGCCCATTCCGCGCGCCGACAACAGTGTGTAAACAAACCCGCGCCGAACTTTCCAAACGCGTGTGCAGTGTGACCGGTTTTCATACAAAAATTCCCTACGCGGCACTCACTGCCGGCCGAGTTTAGAAAAGTTATTGTATATCTTTTGCTCATCAACGTTCATACACGCTAATTAACACAGTTCATTAATAAAACGGCTAGTTCAACAACGGCCGGACGTATCTACGAGACACTTGACGCATTGCCCGCTGTCGACAGCGCCATTTCCGGACCGGTTTGTAAAATTACCGTGCAAACTTTCAAAGTTGGCACTGCCGAAAAAACTTTATTGTCTATTTTGTTGTTGTTGTCCTTTTTTATTACTTATTTTTTTCCCTGTCGTCGGCCGCGCACATAATTTTGGTAATGCGAGTGCGATGGTATGTTTGAATTTCGTTACGCCGCGTTTCAGTGTGAAAATTTCTCTTTGTCCCATTGCGCTGCTTTCGCCGTTGAAACGGGACCACCGTCGCCGTAACTGATGCTTTTGCTGTTCTGTCCGTCGATAATTATTATCAGGACAACACACCGTTCGGCGTCTGTGTGTTTTTGTGCGTGATTTATTTATTCATTTTTTTTTTTTTTGACGTAATTTTTTAATCCTCGTGTTTAAGTCTGCAAGTTTGTGTCTGTGTTTAACGATCTTATTACCCGCGTCCGTGCTGGGTGCGCACACGTTTTTAAACGGGATAACGTGGACGTTATGGAACAACAGCAACAACAATTTTGTTTGCGATGGAACAACCATCAGAACACATTGATATCGGTGTTCGACAGTTTGCTAGAGAGTGGATCACTGGTGGATTGCGCTTTGGCTGCTGAGGGACAGTGTATGAACGCTCACAAAGTCGTACTCTCAGCTTGCAGCCCTTATTTTGCAGTAAGTATTTGCTTAAAAGTATATGATCTCTACGTCGCAGTATATTGCGGTGCGCGACCACGTTGTTTTGGCCGACGCCGCCGTCGCTGCCGCCTCGTTCCATATGTTTTGTCCGACAACCACATTTTTCTATGACACCTGTTGAATGTAAAAACACAGCGCATGACCCTCGATCCCTTGTTAGCACAACAATCAAATTGTTAAGCAGGTTATTTTCATTAAGATTCTGAAACCAACTGGTTAAATTTATGTTATCAGTGAACATTTTACTTAATTTGGGATTTCTATTAAATTACCGTTGGTAATATTCAAAGAAAATCATTATGTTTTTATATATTCATGTCTTTTACATTTTAAAAATTACTGGTTTTGGCATAAAAAATATCTATTTTTTTGAAACAAATTGTCATATTGCCTGATTACTAAGCAAATTTGTGTTTTTAATTATATAAAGAATTTTCACTTCTTAAACCTCTAGTGAATACATGTACTTATTTAATTTAATTTTTATTATGTGCAAGTAAATAAATATGATTATTTCAAGTTATAAAATGCAGTTCTTTACATAATTTTTGTTTACCTAACCTAGAAGTTGTACCATCGTAGCGTTATAAACTGAACTGCTATCATTTAATTACTAAACAATATTTTATAAACATTATTTTGATTACTGGAATGCCTTAATTCGTATTACTGGAAATACTTCAGTGAAATCAATCATTACTACTTTTGTTAAAAATCTGTTATATACATTCATTGTATTTATTAAAATTAAATAAAATAATTCTTATCAAAAGCTTATTGAAAATTCATTATAAGTGGTGCAAAAGATCAAATTTATTAAATAAGTATATGTAAATTTGAATGTTAAATGGTCATAATTTTTTGGTTAATATAGCTTTGTCAATGAACATATGCCTGCCCCTTAAAATATACCACTGCTTCTTTGTTAGGTGTATTAATTTGTCACATTATGAAGTTTTTAAATAGAAAATGAGTTTTGAATTTTTTAATTTAAGTTTCTTTTTCAATATTATAATTAGGTATCTGAGTAGATAATTTATAGAAATCACATTTGTGCGATATGGTTATGTAATCAGAGTCTGGTTAATTTTTTGACTTACATTTAAACTTGTTTTAATTCATGTTTTAAGTTATTCAATTTTAAGTATCATTAAATAAATTGTTTATGAATAAATCTAATTTTTAATTCTGAAGTATTTGTCATACATTTAATACATAATATTTTATTATTGAATATTTTTATTTTTGAAAGTATTCTTTTTTATGCATTTATCTAAAATGTAGAATTGATTTTTTTTTTTCAATAAAATACTATAATTGTAGTTTTATTATTAGATTACAAAAGTGACTATTATTCTAATTTTATATTTCTTTGTCAGATTTCATGGTAATTTATCATGTATTATTTTTGTGAGCTGTGATGTTTTCTTCAAATCAAAAATGTATATAGTGAATTATTTTTATTTTTTCTTGGTTTATATTTATATACTATATCTATATACCAAGTTATACAATTTTATGAGTCATTTTTGCATTTGTTATTCCTATTTTTTTTTTTAATGAGCTCATAAAATTACATGGTCCTCATTTTTTGAGAATGGTAAATTATTGTTGATTAAAAAGTAAAAAATTATAACTTATTGATGTATTGTGAATTATGTAAATTTTTGTAACAGTTCTTTAATTTTCCTAGAATTATGAACTCGAACAGTTAAGATAAATATTTTTTCTTACTAATCATTATTATCATTATTCAATACAATTTTATAGAATTTGAAAATATCAGTTAAAGTATCTGTTAAAAAACACTTAAATATTTGAAATTTATGATAAAATCTATATAATAAGTTATTTTAATTACTTTTTATGAGGGATATAACCATTTATTTAAATATAACGCTCTTGTAAAAGGTTTTTATTTTTTGTAAATGAGTTGGGATGTTATCTAAAAGTGATGGACGATAAGCAAAATTCATCTAATTTTATGTGATAGAGATTATTTAAAAATATTATAAATTATTGTAAGGTAAAAATAATGTCATGTGTATATAAATTTATTTTTATTTAATAATTATTTAATATGAACATTTTTTATGCTGATATTTGTTTGGTCTAAATATTTCATGTGATTGGTATGAACTATACATTTGTTTCTACTTTAGTTTCCAATATTTATGTTATATTTAATTTAAACTGCAGAGTACAGTACAATAAAGGAACTTAATTATTTAATTTTATTATGATTTAAATTTTAATAATCAAGACTCAATAGGTATAATGTAGGTCTTAGTCACTATGGATATAATTTCTCTTTACAAAAAGTTCATAATATCTAATAGAAATATAAGTATATCTTATTATTATCATATTTTGTCTAATAAAATAAAAAAATTTATTCTAAAAAAAAAAAGTATATAAAAGGAAGTTAAGGTATTATATAATTTTGGTTAGCTTTGATTGTAATTGACTTTCTATTTTTCCACTCACTGATTTGGTACATTCAACTTTAAGTATGTTGTTCAATTATGTTCTAGTTTTTTATTTATAGTAGTATACAAAATTTATTAATTTTTTTAGCATATCAATCAATCATAGTACAAACTATGTTGATTGAAAAAAAATAGGCGGTTAAAATGATGTCTTGCTCTTTAAACTTGGTAGTCATATTTTTTTTTTATATTTAAAATTTTAAATATTATATAATAAAAATAGATTAATTGTGACTAATATCATTTAAAATATTAATAAAGTAGATAGTGTGTTGAAAAATATAAACTGAATAAAAACTGAAATATTAAGTTTATTTTAATTTAAAAAAAAAATGAATTGTTACAATAAGAACTGATAGTAATACTAATAAATACTTACCAGACACGTTCTTGTTCTTTTAAATTTCGTTGAAATTTTATCATAATCGAACTAAATGTGATTGTGACGTGTACAATAATTTGAAGAACTAATTTCTTGTTTTTAAAGTTGATATTGATATTATCAAATATTTATTGTTATTTATTCATAACCAAATTAGTTTTATATAGATTATTACAATTTTCATAATTTTAACTCTGTAGTTAGATTAATGGGGATAACAGATAGTATGATTTATTGAATTAAAAAAAATTGTCTGGATTATTTATAGATGATATTAAATAATCATATAAATGTAAATTTACTTATGTATAAAATTTTTGCAATACATTTTTTTTCTAACAAAAGTTGTTATTTTTTATGATTGATGTAATCAGGATGATAAGATTTGGTCTAGATGGATGAAATAGATAAATAAATATGGATTCATAGTTTCTGTACAAAATTAAATTTTTATAATTGTTTGGACAAAATGAGCTAAAATTATTATCTAATATAAAAGTGAATAAATAAGACTAACAAAACAGAATAAATTTTTAATTTTGGTATGATTGAATTTTAGTTAATGTTATTATTTTAAGGTAAAACTTCTTGCTTTTCAAATTTAACATTTTTTTTTTTTTAATGGTTTAATATTATTCACTGTCTTCAGTTTTACATTTTTTGTTTGTTATTATGTACTTGCCCATTTTATCTGCTTTTGGATACGGTTCATGATAAAATCAAAATAACATCCTGGGATGTGATAGTTATAATTTTTAATGGATTAATACTAGTGAAATAGAATAAAAAGAGAGTTATTCATGATTGACTAAAATTAATTTCTTAGTAGAGTTAGTAGAAGCTATAATATTAAAACTGAGTGTAATTGGATACTTTTCAGTTTTTAGGTTAAAAGGTTACCCTTTAATAAAAAAATTTTTTTATTTGTCTAATACAGTGTAATTTTTAAAGAATGATACCCCCATTTTATTTATTAAATTACAATTTTTTTATAAAAATGTGCGAATTAAAATTTGAATTCTTCAAAATTGATTGTAACAAAAAAATATTTTTAAGAGTATAATTTAAGGGTATCTTTCAAAAGTTATATGAGAGAGCCCTTATTTTTTTTTTTTAGTAAATTAATAATGGTTCAAAAAAAAATTGTAGACTGGTCAATAATCAGTTTTGCAATATACTTTTTGAGTTAATGTAAATTTTAGTTATAGGCGAAAAGAATGTGCAGCATAGATAAATTCTTATTTGTGCATAGTGTCGCTATAATACTACCCTATTCCTCACCTTTTCTAAATATTAAAATGCTAAATATTTCAAAAAGTAAAGTTTTAAAATAGGTGATCAACTAGCCAAAATTATAGGAATTTCAACTTTATTTTTATTTAATGGAAACATATATATTTAACTGACTTATAAAATAGAAAATGATATAATTTTAAAAATCACTGGTCGATAACAACTTGGATTAATACTTAGGAAGTTATTACAATTTTAAAATACAGACGGAAATTAAAGTGTAAATGTTGCTATTTATATTATTAGTCAATTCTTGCATAAAATAATGCTCTTCCCCCACCTAGGTGTAAAATTGAATTTCTTCTGAAACACTAGTCTATATTTTAAAATGGTAATAACTTTCAAAGTATTAATCCAAAAGTTGTTATAAATTATTCATTTTTTTAATTAAATCATTTTCTATTTTACAAGCTAGTTAAATATGTATGTTGCCATTAAAGAAAAATAAATTTGGCATTCCTATAATACATAAGGAATGAACATAAAAAATATTGTATAACAGATAAATGGAAATACATACGTAACTAACAAAAGCCAAAAAAAATATTATATTAAGAGAAATTGAGTGGATAGTATTAAAAGAATTACTTTGTATAGTAGGTGATAAAGGGTATCTTATTTTATTAGTCTTTGCCATAATTTGATGATAAATATAAGGTTTATAAGCTATAAATACAATACATTCAGTATTTTGTTTCTAAATTATTGATTAAATAAGAATTTAAAAAAATGTATGATAGCTTAACCCTGAGGTACAGATATCTCTCGTCATAAACTATAATATTAATATTATTATTATAATTATCATTGAAATTTGATTAGTTTTATAATTGACAACTTTTTATTATTTTATTATAAAAGTTGTACAATTTAGCTATCATAAATATTTTAACTTGTTATTTTACATTTATGTTTATATCTTAAAACATTAAAATGGAACTTTTTGCTTAATCTAGATGCTGCTAAATCAACATTTTGACAAGTATCCTGTACTTATCTTAAAGGATGTAACATATCAAGAGTTACGGTCTATGATGGATTACATGTACCGTGGTGAAGTCAATATTACTCAGGAGCAACTTGGATCATTTTTAAAAGCAGCAGAGTCCTTACAAATTAAAGGACTAACAGAAAGTAGCGGTCGATCTGATAGAAAAGTTGATGCGCGAAAGAGTGTTGCAAGAAATAGCTCCCCAGGATTACCTAAAAAATCAGTAACTCCTAAAATTGTCGAAAGTTCATTTGAGCCAACCATGACTGTACCACCACCAACTGTAGCATCAATACCAAATACTAAAAGACGAAAATTAGTACAACCAGTGAAGAATTTCAGTAGTCTTGTAGTTTCTCCAGTAAATCCAAGTCGTACAAATGCTAATAACTTGGATGTTAACAATACACCCAATCATACTGCACCTAGTTTAGCTGGGGAAGGTAAGGCAAACATACCTTCTCCTCCAATCATTCCTAAACCTGTAGTAGAATCAGCAAATGTCAAAGTTGAAGAAGATAAATCTGATTCTAATGGTTTAGTAGTTGATGAAAAGGATGAAAATGGTTATTGGCCTTCAAATGCTTCATTAAATGAAGTGAAAAGAGAAAAAACAGATACTGAAGAAGAAGCTAGTGAGAGTGATTCTAATGTTCAAAATGATGTATGTACAACAAGTACAAATGTTTGCAATATGACTTCACAAATCAATATGAATAATTTTCGTCCCGAAGAAGGTAAAATAATAATTCTTTTTATGTACTTATTATCTTGTGAAGTTATAATATCTATATTTTAATTGAAGGCATGGAATTAACAGAATATGGAGGTATGAATATTCCCTCAAATATGCAAGATCAAGGTAAATGTTATATTCATTATTTTTAAGAAAAAAAAAGTTAACTGTGAATTATAATATAGGTTTTCCTTTGGGTTCCTTATGGTGGAAAAACTTTGAACAAAATTCCAAATATGTTCGTACTACTCAAGCCAACCCATTCAGTTGTCAACATTGCGGTAAGAGATATCGATGGAAGAGTACACTAAAACGTCATGAAGTTTTTGAATGTGGTGGTAAAGAGCCTGTTCATCGTTGTCCTCATTGTGAGTATCGCGCTAAGCAAAGTGGTAATCTTAGGGTGCACATACGCAAGTATCACACAGCTTTAGAGTAAGTTCCTAGATGCCTCACAACATCCATTTAAAAGGTTTGAGAAGTTTATGCTCTCTGACTTTTTTATTTTTATTTTTATTTTTTGTATTTAACAAATATATTTGCTCATTGTTGTGATTTCATGGAAACTTCATCGATCAGGGTTCAGTATTAGCATAAAATTTTTAAATGAAACGAAACTTATTTTCCTAATTTGTTTGAACAATTATTTTTAAGCTCAATTATTTGGAATTTTTTCATTTAAATGACATTACAAATTAAATTTTTTTTTTCGCAATATATTGAGTGTTCAAAATGTTTTAGACAACTTAATTTGTTTCCTAGACATGGAATTATGCTTACATGTTGTTCTCATTGTTTAATTAGACATTTTGGACACTTGTGTTTTTGTGTAATGTTATTTGCATGTAACTATATTAATACTTTTTTGTAATTGTAGGACAGTGTGCGTATTATTTTATTATGTAATATTAATATTATGTATACAGTATTTAAGGATTAACCGCTACACTTGTTCCTAAAACGTAACAATAATTAAATATGATGATACATGTTGATAAATATAACTTATATTTTTAAGTTTTTCTTTAGTATTAATTATTTTTAATTGTTAGTACTTAAGTGATAATTATACATAAAATTGTGTTTCTTATGATTTTCCAAGCTCATAATTTGTTCAACACTATGTGATAAACATTGTTTTTTTTTTTTCAAATTAATTTACGGGTATACCTTATTGTGAGCTTCATAAGTGCCTTGAAAATGTGATTAATAAACTATACTTAAAACAAATTCAATTAAATCTAACATATTAAAGAATATGAAGTAATAAATAATGCATGTATATTTGATATCATTAATGTCTTCCAAATAATTGTTGTATTTCACTTGAGAATTTGTTTTTTTTTTTTTTTTTTTGTTTGTATGATTTGTTATGTGTTAGGTTTATAATGGGCCAGCCTAGCTTAGACCATTGTAATTTGTCAGAATAAAATTTTACTTTCTACTTATATTTTTCATTAAATAAAATAGTACAATGACATAGTTGTAGGTTATTATTTGTAAGTTGCTCACGAAAACAAATTTAGGGTTTACATTGAATGACACATATCGACTGTTTATTTACGGGTCTTCAAATGTTAATGCGTCTTTGTATTTTATGTTATCTTGTATAAAAATGAACATACTTATATCCATGACAAAATAATTTTATTAAGAACTCCATCTGACTGATATAGATCTGAATATTTTACAATGATTTTTATTGTATTTACATTACATGTTAATAATGGGCATTTTCCTCAATTTATATATATATATATATAAAACTACCACCTTAAAATAATATTTATATCATAGTTTTGTATACGTATTTTATGATGATTGATTTTTTATTAAAGTTAAAGGTTAGTAGGATTATGGTAAGTGCCCTATTTTTTTTTTATACATTTTATATGATTTATACTTAAGACTAATTTTGTTAACTATTAATTTTTTTTTGTATTATTAAGTATTTGTGTTGGATTTATAATATTATTGCTTTTTTATGAATCTATTATCAATTTTTTAGGTATCTACTTATTTAATTTTGCATAAATAAAACATGTAAAAATACCTAATTAAATGCTTTTTTTATTCGTATTTATCTTAATTTTCTAATGTGTAGCAAGTTATTTTTGCATATTTAGTTAAACTTGTGCAAATAAATTGTTGTAAAAACTTATTTATATATGTTTCGATCCGTAATTATTTTAATGGAGAATTAATGTGATGAAAATTGGAAATATTCAATTTGTACGGTTTTACTCAGAATATTTATGATTTCACTAGCGTATTTTTAGTGATCTAAAAGGAAAGCTTATAGCTTATAGTCTAGATAGGATTTTTTCACCGGAACTAATCGCAATTGTTCACGGTTTGGTTATTATTATGAGTTGAAAACGCATAGTAAAAAAGAAAATGATAGTAACAATGATTTCGAAAATTGGAATTGATAGTAAAATTAGGAAATTCGCGAGAATTCGTATAGAATTATAATAGTATATTGTCTTGGCCGAACAATGTTGAATAGATTTCTGGAAGTTCAATTCTATTTCAATTTAAAATTGTTCACCGTAGATCAAAATAGACTAAAAGATTTATACATGTACGTACTTTGTATACAGAAAAATCGTGTTTACAGTCAACTAAAACTTCCTTTAATTTTCCAGTGATACTTAGTTTCTGTTGAAGATATTTCAGATGTTTAGGAATTTTAAATAAATCAGTTATAAATACCTATTTTTTAATTTTCTCTAATGAGAACTCCTATTTTTAATTTGATATGATAGATTAATAAAATTTCAAAAAAATGTTGATTATAATATTGAACTTGGATTTCAAATACAAATTTATCGTTAATTTGGATTTCATAATACTAGGTGTTATAAAATGTATTTCGAAGGGCTATAAATTATTTTTATGGTAGTTTCAAGAAAATTATTCGACACAAGTTGCCGCCCAACTAAGTATGATAGTAAACGCGTTGAATATGACAGCATGCGTCTAATTATGGACCTGATTTATTAAAGATAAAAATTCTGCATGAACCTCTCATGAATACGCCACCGTTCCTCTTTGATATTGTAAATTGAATAAAAAAAATTTTATATTTGGGAGAGTAACTACTATTTGATGTACAAGATGGCCCCATAAATTTTGAGCCCAAGGCAATTGCCTAGTCTGCCTAGCCCAAAATACGGCCTTATCTATAGTACTATTAAACTGAAATTGGGATTCCCATAAAAAAAAAATTAAAGTTTAGGTATTTTATTGGGGCATGGTATAACGCAGTAGTTTATTCAGTCGCCGTTTTAGCGCTGAAGTTCTTCAGCTATACTGTTTGCTGTTGGTTTTTCTAGATGGGTGACAATACGAGAATTTTAACTGTGACTTACACTTTGTTACCATACTGGTTCCCTGAGTCATAATGCGGTTGTGTTGGGTAGACAGCTAGTATAAAAATCCTATCAATAAGGTAGAACCTACCCCAACTAATTGAGATAAAAGCAAGATGATGAAAGTTAAATTATTCATGAAGGGATAAAAAATAATTGTTTAACTACATATTATTGTAAACTTTTTTGAATCAAGCAATTTTTAAAGTTTTTGAGAAAATGATCGTCTTATTCATAATGAATCGCACTTAAGGGAAACTGGCAACGCATTTCATTATACGAATTTTAATTAATAAATATTATAATAATTAAAATTTAATTTAATCATTTGTAAGACGTAATAATTAATGTAGATTATGGAATTTCTTCGTTTTACTAGTTCTCAAAGATGCTGTAATTTTTTAATGCAAAATGATTGATTTTCATTGATTACTAATATTTCTACTAAATAATAATTTTAATTTTGTTTAATATAACAAAATGTTTAGTTTTCGAATGGTTAAATATTTATTGGATCCCATCGATTATCTCTTATAAAAGTAAAAACTTTTTTTTTTTTGATGGCAATGTAAATATTTATACAATAGATATAGTTACAATAGTTTGTTCTTAGTGGTTTTCTATTTTATAAAATAGCAAAATATACAGGGTGTTCAGTAAGTCAGGAAACGGGTTTCTATTGTTCTCATTGTTACAAACAATGAGAACAATAGAAACCCGTTTCCTGACTTACTGAACACTCTGTATGTATTGCATTAAAAAAAAATAAGTTGTACCCTTATAAAAAAAGTGAGCTAATAAAAACTTCAAAATTATTATTATGTTATATACTTGGTATTTTTTCAAAATATTTTCAAATAGTATTGTAAATATTTACAAAATATAAAATACAAAACTTAATCAGCGTGTAACATTTAAAAAAAGTAATACAAATAATGTACTGTTGAAGTAATAAACAGAATGATTTCTTAACTAGATTTATTAGTTCTTTGTTGAGCATATTGACACGAAAAATGTACTTTTTACTACTACCCCTTATATCTAATTCGTCTCAACTTATGACTTTTCAAAGGCAATCCTATTTTCTTTATATTATCAGTCTTATTCATATGAAAAAACAATCTTTCTATTTAAAAATATTTTTATATTATTTGATTTCCAACGAGTTACAGCTGTTAAAGTTTATGAGGCGATTAAAAATAAGTACGCTTCTTTTCTGATCTCCTCATAAACTGGAGTTATAACATTTATTAAAGAAAAATTTACTATTAATAGCTTTAATGGAAAAGAATATTTTTATACTTTTAAATATAGTACAATAAGTAAAACTAAATATTAATGTAATTAAAAAAAATTGTAGTATATCGTTTGGAATACGGAGTAATTTTAATGTAACAGTAGATTTGTGTAAGGCATTGAATAGTAACCATGGCTAATTGAATAATTTTTTTTTATAGAGAGTTCAATATTTTTAATTGTTTAATTAAATTTTACTTTATTTAATAATTTATTGTATATTAAATATAGTGTCAGTTATTGTTAAAACTATAAAACTTTTCACCTCCTTCATAAACTTATGTTAAAAGTGAGTAAACTAATGTACCAGGATGTTTATTGAATTGTTTATTTGCGAAGTTAATATCAAATAAACATAACGACAACGCCATCTGTTTTTTAAACTAGATTATATATACGTTCATAGATAGTAGCACATATTCTAAAAGTATAAAACTTCATGCACATGTAATTTCTGTAAGAGTGAAGTGTGGTTATTGTAAACTCATTTTTTCTCTTTGAATATTTAACAGATTTTATTTTACATTAAAAAGTTCTAGTCCTTATATGTATTGTTATTATATAAAATGAGATTTTGAAATAAAACTCATGTATTTTAATCGTTTACAACTACCACATTTCACTCTATCAACAATTTTTAAAATTATTTTAAAGTTAAGGTTTCAAAACGACATTTAAGGCATTTAAGTAGGAGTTAAAAACAGTGGCGTAATTAATGTGAATTACTTAAATAATACATATCCATGAACATTACAAGGAGAGGGTACAAAATTGCTGTCCATATGAACTTTTTTTTTATATTTAGAAATATTAGGGAAAACTTGCTTCCTTAAAAATCATTTTTGTTTGATATTAATAACATAAGCTATATTGTAGAATTATTTCTTGTGTATGAAAGGCTTGCAAATATTTTGCACCTTTAGTTCCTCCTCAACGAACGAGTTATAAATCGTAGATTGGCTTACATTTCAGGTTTTTTTATTTATAATATTTTTTTTTATAACGGGTGTATTCAAGAAAACCTTAATTATTGATTAATATTTCATATTGTGATCAAATTTTTTACTATGTAATTAGCTGTGAATTCAGATAAGTAAATACAAATAGTATCGCATTAAATAATTAAATAATAATTGTTTATCGAAGTAATCATTAAAATTAATAAGAATCTGATAAACGTAAAATAGTATTTTTTTAATAATATTTAGATTAAAAACTAATCTATAAATAATATTTTCATTTTTCAAATAATTTAAATGAATTTTTATTAATTAAGTTATTTGAAATAAAAAAATTTAGATTCCATCTGATTTCTTCGTGTAATTTTCTAATAA